TGATACTTTTAAAATACTTCTTTCTGAAACTAAAGAATTATATATAATCACTTTAATTGTAGTTCTAATCCTATGCGTCGTTACTTGGCAAACATAAATTTTTTTAAAACATATTTTTAGAAAACATATAGTCCTTTGTAAAGTTCTCCACTTGAGTACACGCTTTCTGCACTAGAAGCCAGACAATATTATATGTAATAAAATTTGTAATTTGGAATATTGGGCTGATACATGTAATTATTACTAGAAACTTCCCTAATTATTAGGCATGCTATTCTCTTTCTATAATAAGCTCTGCAAGGCTTTCATAGTTTATGGGCTTAATCCAATACACACTAGTCCAAATATTCTTTGGTTGGACTTGGTCTTGAAGCTGTGGCAGTAGCTCTGTGTCCTGACTTGACCCCTGGATGTGGTTTAGGATGGAGCCAGCTCATGTGATTGGTATTTAGCTATGGAGCTGGTGTGCCTAGTTCTTGAATTAAAATGGAGAAATGGCTGGCACTTCTTTTCATGCCCATTCATGAGCGAACTTCTCATCAAAACAGCCGATGCCAGGGCTGATATGCCTAGCTTTTGATAAACCTAAGTAAGTGTCCCCCAAATGCCACCAGAGTCTGGCTACTCATAAGGGAAAGGTAGCCCTTCCTTGGTTTCTCATGGCTTAGAAAATTGTCAGTGTTTGGTTGTAATTACTGAGCCATAAGGAGGAGGAATGTTCTGTTAAGATATATTGTCTTGAGTAGATAGATGTAGCAGAAGAAAAAACAGCAGACTGACTTCTATCTTCATTCTGTACATGGTACTCTGATAGCATTTGCCCAAGGGAGGAAAGAGAGCTAGCTTCCTTGGCTCTCCCACATGAGGTGCTGAGCAGTGGCGATACTTGACATTTAGCTGGAGGACAGTGGGAAGGAGGTGATGGTTGTACATCTATTACACTTTTACTCATTCATTGGACAAATGGTTATTGAGTCCCTGCTTTGTCAGGCACTGTTCAAGGACAAAACACACCTGATCCTTGTCCACATGGTGGTAATATTCCAGGAGAGGAATGAAGGATAAATTGGCAAATAGTATATTCAGAATAAATTGTATTTAAGTAGTAGAAAAAAGTTACATTTTAAAGGTGCTGGATGGGACATGCCATATGTAGTATAATGTTGTTGTTGTTATGTGCCGTCAAGTCATTTGCGACTCATAACGACCCTGTGTACAACAGCCCTAAACCCTGCTCTATCCTGTGCCGATCGCACTGCCTCTGATACACCCATCCCGATTACCCCAGTCATGGAATCAATCCACCTCATAGAGGGTCTTCCAAAGACTATTTTTCTCAAGCCTCAGATTCAGACAATTGCAGGAGAATGGATAACTTGAAAACAATTGTAGAATAAAACACATAGAACGTAGACATACTGTTTATTTAAAGTGTCTGATCTAGGGATATCAGATAAATTAATGATAATATGAAACCATCACCACTGTCATATTCTATAATTTTCATCACAGATCCATTCTGCCTCTATGATTTGTAAATTCTGGGCATTTCTAAAGAGCTGTGGTAGTGTAGTGCATCTTGCAATGAGCTGTAAACCAAAAGATCAGAGGTATGAATTCACCAGCTGCTCTGTGGGAGCAAGGTGGGCACTCTGCTCCTGTAAAATATTGACTTCCTTGGAAGCTCAGTGAAAGATCACTGTGAATTGGAACCGACTCAGTGGCAATGCATTTTATTTGAGCTTGAACATGTCAGGGCCATGAAATAATACAGCATGTGGTGGTTTGTGACTGGCTTCTTTCATGTATTTATAGGACTTTGAAGAAGCGTCCATGTTGCAGCATATGTCAGCACTTCATTCCTTTCACGGCTGGAGAATATTTATTGACTTTCTCCTTGATATTTTTCTTCCCAACTGTAGTTGATCTCCTTTTGCTGATGGCTTTTCAGTATCGTAGAGCTTTTACCATATTTATAAAGATGAATGAAAACATTTTCCTTCTTTCTCTCAGCTCATCATTTTACTTTATCCCTCCCAGAAAAATCACAATCCTTTTGCTCTTTACTTTTTTTTGTTATTTTTTTTCATTGTAGAATTTTCGTTCCTATGAAAAACATTCTTGTATTGTATTGATAAGCTGACTACGGGTTTTGTTTATTTTTCCTTAACAATATGTATGGGAGTGGAAATTCCATCCTACTTATCATCACTGGGGCCTCAGTCCCCAATGGGAGGGGACTCCTCATCCCTAACTTTGCTTCATTGGCCTCCCATCTAGTTCTCAGCCAAGAGCCGCTGTGCTCTCCCAGTCTTGTGTCCAGGTGGGCTGAAAGCTTTATATGATGACAGCAGGTAGAGTTGGGTACATCCAGCATCTTCTCTCTTTCGCTGACCTGCTTTCCCAGGCATGATATCTTTTTTCCGAAACTTACCCCTCCTGACAGAACACCCAAAGCAGGTGAGATGAAGTTCTAATCCATTCCTCTAAGGAGCGTCCTTTTTGCACTCCCTCCAAGATAGATTTGATTGTTCTTTTGGCGGTCAATGGGACACTCTTCCCCAGTACCACACTTCAAAGACATAAATTCTCCTGCAGTCTTCCTTATTTACTGTCCAACTTTCAGATGTATTTGAAGCAACTGAAAATGCCTTGGCTTAAAAAAGATGCATGTAAGTCTTTAATGGGAGGAAGGCTCGTCATCAACCTGTGCTATACAGACGACACAACCTTGCTCACTGAATCTGAAGAGAACTTGAAATGTTTGCTGCAGAAGGTCAAGGACTGCTGCCTTCAGTATGGATTGCATTTCAACTTAAAGGGAACTGAGATCCTCACCACCAGGCCAGTTGTCTTACTGATAGTTGAGGCTGTTAACAATTTCATCTTGCTCAGATCTACAGTCAGCACTCTTGGCACCAGCAATTGGGAAATCAAAAGACTTATTTTCTCTGGGAAATCTGTCTCAGGGAACATCTCCAGAGTGCTTAAGTGCAACAATATCAGTCTAGAGGCTAAGATGCACCGGATTCAGGCCATGGCCCTCTGAATTGCTTGCTGTGCAAGGATGACAGAAGAAGAATCGATGCCTTTGAGTTGTGATACGCGTATTGAACATACCAAGGACGGCTAAGAGAACATATAAGCGTGCCCTGGAAAGGGTGAAACCAGGTTGCTCTTTTGAGAAGGATATCATCCTTGACAAGATAGTGAGCATAGGAGACAGAGACCGTGAATGAGCTGGATTGACTGTGAAAATGGGGTTGGGTGT